ATATATATATATATATAAAATTATGTAAATCCTTTTTAAGTTTTAAATAAATGTAAAAAGTATTTAACATTTTTTTCAAACATCACAAACTCAAAGTGTAAGTAAAATGTTTTATTACTTTTTCCTTGATGGTTACATTTGATCTTTTCTTGAAAATGCTGTAAAATTTCGGTAACACTTTTATGTATAATGCATTATAAATGGCTATTAAAGGGTATAATGCATTATAATTATTTATAATGTGCATTGTAATACATTAGATCTTGTCGTAAATTATTATAACTGAATTTAAAACTGTTATGTATTAACTGTGGTTACAGTTATTCATGAAAAATGCATAGTGTAACAATGAATTGATAAGTGTTATTATGTATTAACTCTGGTTACAATTATTCATGAGATTGTATAATGCTTTATAAGGTGCATTACAAGGCATAATTAATGCATTAAAACTGCTTTTATAATGAATTATTCTTAATTACATTTATTTATTTATTTTTTTTAAATTTGTCAGCATGATACAACTGTCCTGGTATCATAATAATTATAATTTAAAAATATTTCATTTTTGAGAAAGACCCCTGAAAACACTCATAATTTATTAATAATGAATATATATATATATATATATATATATATATTAATGTTTAAGAGTAACATTTTGTTCTGTGTGGTCACTCTCAATTGGGCCAAAACCAAAAAAGTAGATGCTCACCACTAAGAGGTGCTATTGCACACAATATGCTGTGAAGTATAGATACATTCGTTCTCATCTTTAGCAAATGGTTTCCTTTCCAAATCCTGGCTTTATTTTCTCCTTCAGTGACAGAGTGGTGTTTTATTTATAATGTGCATTGTAATACATTAGATCTTGTCGTAAATTATTATAACTGAATTTAAAACTGTTATGTATTAACTGTGGTTACAGTTATTCATGAAAAATGCATAGTGTAACAATGAATTGATAAGTGTTATTATGTATTAACTCTGGTTACAATTATTCATGAGATTGTATAATGCTTTATAAGGTGCATTACAAGGCATAATTAATGCATTAAAACTGCTTTTATAATGAATTATTCTTAAAGGCTTTAAGTAAAGTGTTACCAAAATTTATTTTTCAAACCAAATAAAACCAACATGAATAGAAAGGTAGTACTTGTCTAGGAACTTAGCATACGAGTGTAAACAGCATTTCTCCGTGCGATATTGTGCTCATTTTCATTATAGCGATATCGTGCGACATTGTGTCTCAGCTCTCAATGTGTGTGTGTTGTGTAGATTTATTATAAGACATGTTTTGTCTTAAACTTGTCATTTTTTTCCATTAGTTCTTAGATGAGATCTCCTCTAATGTAAGCAAGGAGTCCAGTGGAGTGGAGGACTCATTTGTACTGAAGGAGGGGTGAGTGAAAGACGCCACAGTTCTCAGATTAGTCAAAATAATTGATTAGTCCAGTTTTACACTTTGAGTTTTAGAGTAGCATCAAATAACTATAGTTCAGTTTGACTGACTTTTACCACATTGTTTCCAGGAAATATAACGGCTAGATGTGTACATATGATTTTTAACAGAGAGGTACATAAGCGGGCCCAGGGCAGAAAGCGAATAGGAAAGAAGAACTTTAAGAAACGCTGGTTACGAGTGACCAATCAAGAGCTCTCCTATCACAAGCAGAAAGGTGAGTGATCCTGGCTGAGATGTGTTCTCCTGAACAGCAGTTTGGTCCATGATCCAAAGAGCTTTGTTTGTGAGCAGTCATCCAGTTCACATCTAAAATGTGGGTGTCCAGACAGCTGTTTTTGCTGGCGGTTTTTTTCTATGGTAATGGAGTTGAAATAACATGAAAAGCATCCCTGGATTCTTTTAGCTTGTCCTCATTCTTGTTTGTGTAGCTCCTGTACATGTAGTGTGGTCGGCCAGTTCTGGATGTGAAAAGTTCTGTTTCCCCTTTTGATTTATGCAGTCGGCTTTATGTCATGGCTGTGTACTTGTGTTCACTGATGTCGGTGGACTTTGTGTATTTAGCAATGTGTTTGAGTACTGAATATGTGTGTGTGTCTGCTTGTAATTTGTAACGCTGTGTTTTAGATTAGTGATCATTGCTGACAATAGGATGGACAGTGGCATATATATGTAATGCTGATATAATGGATGTGATATAGTTTAAAACCAGTGAGACGTAAATTAATTATTTTACACAATATCTTCTCAAAAACAATTGGAAAAAGATGTTGAGGCTGTCAGTAGATTCTGGACATAAAAGGGAATTAGGTCTTAAAATTCTATAATAACAGGAAGGATATTCAATTTATATATTGATCCATTTGAATAATAAAGACATGTAGTTTTTCATTGAGGAGCACTGGTAAGAATAATATTTCTTTTTATTCAAATATTTAAACTGCAATGAATGGCAATATTTACCTACAAACACACTACCACTAAAAAGTTAATAAGATTTTATTTTTAAAAAATTATTTAATAATTTTGTTCAGCAAGGACACATTAAATTGATCAAAAGTGACAGTAAAGAAACTAATAATATTTGTTTCACATAAATTCTCTTCTTTTGAACTTTTAATTTATCAAAGAATCTTGAAAAAAAATGGTTCAATCATGGTTCTTCCCACAGAAATATTAAGCAGCACAAATGCTTTCAATACTGATAATAATAAGAAATGTTTCTTGAGCATATTAGCATGCTGGAGCAGTGGCTGCAGAAAATTTAGCTTTGTCTTTATAACTGTAATTATATTTCACAATATGTTTACAGTATTTTGATCAAATATATGCAACCTTGGTTAGCATTAGAGACTTCTTTAAATTATTTAAAAAGTCTCACTGATCATAAACGTTTGTACGGTAACTTCGATACAATTTACATGCATTAGCATGCAAGATTAATCTTTAATGAGCCGAAAAGAACACGTCACACCTCTGTTCATCAATTTGCACTGGCTACCAGTAGCTGCTCGCATTAAATTCAAGGCATTAATGTTTGCCTAAAAAACCACCACTGGCTCTGCACCCATTTACCTAAATTCATTACTTCAGAGTTATGTGCCCTCTAGAAGCTTGCGTTCTGCAAATGAACGGCGTATTATTGTGCCATCTAAAAGAGGCAAAAAATCACTTTCACAGACTTTTTCACTAACTGTTCCCTCCTGGTGGAATACTGCGTTAGGCTAACCGAGACTTGTCATTTGCACTTATATATTGTTGCTCTTTTGTTAGTTTTGACTGCTGTTATTGTCCTCATTTGTAAGTCGCTTTGGATAAAAGCATCTGCTAAATGACTCAATGTAAATGTAAATGTAATTAGCATTTTTCAGTTTTATACATTTCCACATTTTTGAGTGGAGTGATAATGAATCACTGTGACTGAATCGTTGTTTTTTTAACTGATTCACTGAAATGGGCAGTTTGAAAGAAATTATTTTCAGACATGAATCACACTTATCTGTATCAGTATTTTTGTTATTGAGGTTTGAATAAGGACACTATTACAAATAGGGATGTTCATTTCGGTTATTTCTCCTAACCGACAACCGACGCTCGTTAACCGATTATTAACCGTTAACCGACAAGATTATTTTAAATTAGAAAGGATAAGTGTCTGACCCGTTAAAAATAGCCTACTAACATTTTTTTTTTTTTTACATGCGCAAAAAGCAGCAAACAACAGAACATGAGGATTCACATGACATGGTCTTATCACATCTAGGGATGTAACGGTATGAAAATTTCTTATCACGATTATAGTGACCAAAATTATCGCGGTTATCAGTATTATCACGGTATGTAAATCCACTCGCTGACAGCAGGTGGCGCTTATGGAAAAACATAATTTTCCCATAAACTCCGTGGACAAAGCAGCATTGTGATTAAGAACACTTCCTTTAGGTATTACATGGAGCGAAGATGAAAACAAAATGCCATCGAATCGTTTCTGAAGACAGTCAGAACCTTCCGAGGTACATTTATATAATTAATTCATTCATATATTCATTTGTATAATTCCCTTAGCACTCTTTTAAAACCTCCCAGCTTTTCCACCCTGTTTTCACTCAAAACGAAACTACTCTGCTGCTGTGCGCACGTGAGACTGTTACTGAAAACTGTGCTTTATGCTGGACAGTATTTATTTATCGCGAGTTGTTCAAATCGCGGTAATCTAATACGGTTTTAAAAGATGAAACGGTAATACTAACCGTGGGGAATTTTATCATGATTTATCGTCAAACCGGTAATCGTTACATCCCTAATCACATCACACACCTGCAGCGCTTCTGTGAGCGGAGAATATATATAGCCTAACGAATAAATAGGCCTAAATATATTTTTACTTAAATAATAAATTAAGAAAACTAAATACAAAAACTGTGGAACAAGTAGCCTAGTAAGCCTACGCAGAGTTTCGGTTCATTTTTGTGCTGTTTTTCTTTAGGCCTATTTTACAAAAGCACAAAGATTTGTTTGTATTGTGAATGTACACAAATAAAAGCAAACCTTTTACAATTCCGATTATCTTTAGGACTAAAAGGAGTAACTAGTTTCTTCCACTGTTAGAAGGAAAAAATTCAAGTGATTGCGCCGGCGCCGCGTACACAGTTAAGCTTTGCTACCTTGACAATGCAGCCTGTTCATTATCATAATAAAATACAGTCAGTCAAACATATGGAAAAAAACACACTGCTCAGTTTAAATCTGTAGTAAAATCTGTGCCGTTAAGCGTTATCACCATATCGCCGTGGTGTTATGCAAAACATTTAGTTTTACGTGAATATTGGAATGCCAGTGAAGTAGGCTACATAATATTTTGGCATTCAAATACATCGCGAATACAGAAACATTGGATTTTGTCGAATAAGAGACGCAACGTTGGTTTCAGTTTCGTTTTAGCTTATAGTAAATGAATTCGTTTTGGCTTGTCGTTTATATAGCCTAGCTATATCTTCTTATAATTTTAATTCTTCTTCTTTAATAAATACTGTTAAATTGAAAGGATTTGTTGTGGAGTGAGGGGAACTAAAATAGCCTAGCTATGTTTACAGTGTTTATTATAATGTTTGTAAACATTTCGCGTCGGCATTAGGCCTATTTCTGAATGAAATAATAAAATGCGACTTATACGCGACTTGTTTTTTTTCTCTAAAAAACACAATTTCAAATTTAAAATACGTAGCGTATTTTAACCTTGCAGCAAACCTTTTAAAATATTTTGATAAATTAGACCTACTGAATAAATAAATAAATTACTTTTTAAACCGTTTAACTGATTGTTCGGTTAACGGTTAACCGGTTAAAATGAGCATCCCTAATTACAAATATCTCTGTCAACACTGTCACACTTATAAGTCATGACATATGGAACAGGAACTATTCACAGTGTTGGTTAATTTTGTATCGCCAACAAACTGATATAGAAGTAAATACACTCCAGTATGCAGCAGTCAGCTTCATTGCATCCTAACTACGTAATTCCCACATTCCCTTAAAGTGAGCTGTCCTGTGAAACAAGAGCCATGTCAATTCCCAAGGTGTAATGTGAATTTCAAGGTCACCAAGTGCAAATCTGGATGCCCCCGCATGATACACGTTTACCGCTGTTGTAATAATAAACATCCTTCAGCGTGATAATCTCAAAAGAAGACAGCATGGTAGCTTGACCTTGCTTCCTGCTGGACTGTCAGCAAAGCTGGATTACTGTTGTTGTCTTTTCTACAGGAGAGCTGAACAAACTTACACTACTGAAAAAAAGAAAGTAAGATGCTGATAAAAAGTTTGGAATAATTAAGGTTAATTAATTAAGGCTCACCAATGTTGGATTTATTTGATGAAAAATACAGTAAAAACTGTAATATTGTGAAATATTTTTACTGCTTAAAAGAACTGGTTTGTATTTGAATAGATTTTCAAATGTAATTTATTCCTGTCATGGATAAGCTAAATTACTCCAGTCTTCAGTCAGTGTCACATGATCCTGCAGAAATCATTCTAATATGAGGATGTTGACTAATCAATAGGAGATGTTGTGTGTCTGTATCCAACAGAGTTCAGAAGGATGAAAGAATTGTTTTGATTATCTCGTTCGCAGGTTTTTTCCCTATGCATGTAGATTTTCCACATTGCTTCTTTTATTATGTAACTGTGTAATCTATCATATAATTGAAGCACTTGTGCTGGGAGTGACTCGCATGTTTCTTGTTTGTGTTCACACAAATGGGAAGAATTATAATGTTTGTACATTAGTTTTGTTTCTTGTTAGAATTTATGACTTTTCTTAGCTCATTTAGGGAATAACAAGCTATTCTCCTAATTATACCAATAAAGGGATTTTCTGATAATATTTGTTTTATGGACTGTAACAGTTCTTGTACAGTACCTGTATTTTCTAGTGACTTTATGTCCATATAGTGACCCCAAAAAGTATTTGGACACCCAAGTCACACTTGAAATGCAATAGATAATAAAATATAAAGAAAGCAGTATTGAGACAAATGGCAGTGGATGTGATTCTACACACCTTTGGCTACTTTGCTAGGACACCCGTGTCAAATTGAGGAGAACTGACTTCATACAGTAAAAATTAGTTCGGGGCCACTGTGTTATTCCGGAATATTCTGAACTTTATTCTTGAAGCATGAGCTTAAAATTCACCTCAGGATCAGGGAGTGTAGGTTGCATTTTTAGTAGACAGGGCCTTTTGACCAAATGCGCTCACATCACAGTTAAAAGAGGGAGAGAAGCTAATAACTCGTGGTTTCATTTCCTCTTATTTGATCAATGGAGGGTCATCATCTAGACTCATGACCGTTGAGCATCTGGACTAAATGATGGACTGTCCTCTGTAGACGTGCGGGTATTATTTGTAAGTTTCCTCCAGATATCAGATCTGGGGCAGTCGAGGATGTTATAAAGGTACTCTGTGTTTTTAACTGGCTAAACTCAACCTGACCTGTTTAACGGTTAGAAATCTCACTGGAAAGAAAATCAAGATACTAAAAGTGTTTCACCATTTCACAAACATGCCCACAATCAGTTGATCTATGGCATATGTCATTTGGCTCCACAGACAAAGGGAATATTTTGATCACTTTTGAGGACAATTTTGTCCCCAAACTACAGCTAAGAGTTTTCTGCTGCTGTACTTTAAGAAGCTTAATATGACAAAGCCGAAGATTTTACAGTTAAATGTCAAACCACCAATCTTTAATCTTTGCCCTTTCATGTTAGGAAGCTAAAAACCATCTGTTTGTGGTATTGTAGTATATCGCCACATTGGAAAACTGCTAAAGCGGCTGTTAGAAACGAAGAAATTAGAAGATGGCACAGGGCAAAATATATTCCAAATGTTTAATACCTTTGCCATTTTAATTCTCAGACAAATGGTGTAAATAATAAAGTAAAAAAGTTCAAATGTGTTTTTAGGAACGCTTCACAGCAGTCTCAGGTGTGTTACTGCTGTACTGAACGTTTACTACATAATACAATTCTAATGACTCACTTTTTCATTAAAATAATATTTTATTCAAGGAAAGATTCATCCAAAAACTATAATTCCATCATCATTCATGTTGTTGTTGAATTTATTCTCTACAGTATATTCTGTGGAAGACGAGACAAATCATATTTATTTATATAGCGCTTTATACAATACAAATTTAAAGCAGCTTCACATTAATAAACAGGAAAAATATCAGTGTTAATTTTTTACAATTAATTAAGAAACAAATGCAATATCAGCTGTAAAGCAGCTCTACAGAAGATAATAGCGTCTGTATTTAACTCTATTTAATGTTGTTTCAATTCACTTCAATAACTGTCAATGTTGCAATGTTTATTAGCTATACTTCAGCTATAAGCAGGTCTACAGAAGGCAATATTTATTCAACTCAAGTCAGTCAGTGTCAGTTCAGTTCAGTTACAATTACAGTCAGTGTTGCAAAGTTAGTGTCATTATCCAGCTCAACAAAGTTGTTTCAGACCCTATGGACTTTAACTGTGCCTTATATATAAACTAAGGTTAATAGTATGACACTCTATGAGTGTTGTGCAGTGATATAAACAGTAGTATATATATATATATATATATATATATGTATATATGTGTGTGTGTGGATGAAAGAATTGTTTTGATTATCTCGTTCGCAGGTTTTTTCCCTATGCATGTAGATTTTCCACATTGCTTCTTTTATTATGTAACTGTGTAATCTATCATATAATTGAAGCACTTGTGCTGGGAGTGACTCGCATGTTTCTTGTTTGTGTTCACACAAATGGGAAGAATTATAATGTTTGTACATTAGTTTTGTTTCTTGTTAGAATTTATGACTTTTCTTAGCTCATTTAGGGAATAACAAGCTATTCTCCTAATTATACCAATAAAGGGATTTTCTGATAATATTTGTTTTATGGACTGTAACAGTTCTTGTACAGTACCTGTATTTTCTAGTGACTTTATGTCCATATAGTGACCCCAAAAAGTATTTGGACACCCAAGTCACACTTGAAATGCAATAGATAATAAAATATAAAGAAAGCAGTATTGAGACAAATGGCAGTGGATGTGATTCTACACACCTTTGGCTACTTTGCTAGGACACCCGTGTCAAATTGAGGAGAACTGACTTCATACAGTAAAAATTAGTTCGGGGCCACTGTGTTATTCCGGAATATTCTGAACTTTATTCTTGAAGCATGAGCTTAAAATTCACCTCAGGATCAGGGAGTGTAGGTTGCATTTTTAGTAGACAGTAGGTTTAGGTGTAGGGTTGGTGTAGGGCAATAGCACATACAGTTTGTACAGTATAAAAACCATTACGCCTATGGAATGTCCCCATAATTCACAAAAACAAACCTGTGTGTGTGTGTTTAGCATGGATGAAACTTGGTTTTGGCCAGTCAGCATCCAAGACCAGAAATATCTCTGTTTAACTTACTTTAAGGATAATTTACATTTTTTAACTGGAAAGACAACATAATGTTTAGGAGTAGGAATTTATTTATGTATTTATTTATCTGCAGTAAAGAGGAAGAGGGAAAAAACAGCCAGCCAGCTAGTGGCAGTACACACCTGGTCAAAGTTCGGGAAGAAGATTGATTGAAAAGAGAACAAGATGGGCTGACGTGGCGTGTGTGGCTCTAGTTCTCAAGCATCTGTGTACTTTGGCTGTTCTGTGGTCAAAATGCTGCACGTCAGCGGAGGAGATGAAAATAGGAATTTTTCAAATGTGTAGAATGTGCTTGATAAACGGCTGTGTGTTTGTATTGGCGCAGCAAGTTGGTGTGCTATCAGCTCCACGGGCTCGGCCCGACTAGACCGAGTCACGGGTCATTACAGAATATCATGTGAGATTTAGTGTCCGTCTGAAATGCAGTCCCCAGATGTCTGTTTATGTGTGTATGCAAAAACAGACTCAAACAGTCCCACCGGTCTAGGCTCTGTATTTACGTTTGTTGCAATTTTAATGATGCATGTTATTCATCAATATCCTTACACAAGTGCTAAATATGGCAAATTGTGAATTTTTAATTAATTAATTAATTTTTCTATTTAAACGGCATGGATAAATGTATCTTTGTATTTGTGTGCAGGGAAAGAATCACTGTGCGTCATTCCTGTGAAAAACATCCTTGGTGTCGAGAAACTGGAAGAAAGTGCCTTTAACCGCAAAAACGTGAGTAGCTCAGTTGTATTTATGCTCTTTGTGTGTGTGTGTGGGCGGGTGGGTGGTTTTTTTTCTATGTTTCTATCTCAACTGGTATAGCATGGCGCTAGCAACGCAAAGGTCATGGGTTTCATTCCCAGGGGACAAACATACAAATTAAATTGAAAATTGTGTGTTGCTTTGGATAAAAGTGTCTGCAAACTTACAGTATGTAGAAAATGCACATATAAAGTACTTTTCAAAAGTTTGTAATAATTACGATATTTTTTTAAAAAGCTGCAGTCCGTAACTTTTGGCGCTCTAGCGGTTAATAAACAGAACTGCGTGTGTCTTGCGGAAGAACATCGTAGCCGGAGCTACTTCTCTCTGTTTATGTCTATGATGAATCACGCAGGTACTGGGCTACTCCGCAGCGGTTCCACCAGTACCAGTCTGAACTAGTCTAAATAATCAAAAAAGTATTCAACAGTAATAATGACAATTATAATGATTTCTGAAGGACACTGAAGACTGGAGTAATGATACTGAAAATTTAGTGAGTAAATTACATTTTAAAATATATTCAAATGGAAAACAGTACTTTTATATTGCAATATTTTACAGTTAAAATTTTTTTTTTTTACTGTATTTCTGATCAAATAAATTCAGCCTTGGTAAAAAATTTTGAAAACAATAAAAAATTTAATTATTCCAAACTTTTGACTTTTAGCGTATGTGTAATATCCCCCTTTCCCACTATTTGTTTTGCAGATGTTTCAGGTAATCCATTCAGAGAAGCCTCTGTACGTGCAGGCGGGGAACTGCGTAGAGACCAACAGCTGGATCGAGGTACTGAGTCAGGTCAGCCGCTGTAACCCGGGACGGCTCAGCACGTTTCACCCGTCCGCTTACGTGGGTGGATCCTGGTTATGCTGTAAGGAACTCAATGAGAACACCCCTGGCTGCAAACCCTGCACTGCGTAAGATATCTTATTAATACATTCACATTTGATCGCTTTATCAAATGTGTTCACGTTCTTGTTTTTGATGTCTGATTCTGTCTTATAGGACAGTGTTGGCTAATATTCAACTGGACATCGACTGTGACAGAGAAACAGAACGAATCTTCTCCTTCTTCTCCTCCAACCGCTCCAGACTACAGAAGATGGAGGGTGTGTATAGTCTAAAAACAGAATCAAATCAAAACTGGCCCCATTTACTTTCTTAATACACATTTTGTCTGTTTGTGCATAATTCATCAGTGTATGTTTTCATAATATTTTACCAAAATGTACTTTCTCCACTACTGAAAAAATAGTTTCTTGTCTATCGATGTAACAATGACCTATGAAATAATAGCTAATGTCAAATCAGTTTAGTTGATCCAGAATATTTCCTGCTCAAAATTATTGAACATTTTTATTACTACCGATTTCAATTTTTTTTACATAGCAATAAAGTTGGTTTCATTTGTCTGTGTCTACAGATGCCTGTGCCGGTATGTCAGTGTATCTTGGGCAGCAGGAGGAGTGTTCAGCCTTCACCATACAGGACCCTAAAGAGACCTTCCGTACTATTAAAGAGCTCGGAGAAGTACTGGACGATCTGCAGGCTCAACACGACTCAAAGGGAGCACTAACTGATGAACCAGGCACTATGTAAGACACCCAAAATCTGTTAAAATCGGCATGAATTAAGACATCACATTTGCAGAGTGCAAAATGTGAATTGTAATGTAGATTGTTTTAAATCATTAATTTTATATATTATTTTAAATTATTTTATTAAAAGAAGAGTTCACCCAAAACAAAAATTTGCTGAAAATGTACTCACCCTCAGCCCATGTACAGTAGATGAGTAGATGTTTCTTCATTGGAATAGATTTGGAGAAAATTTGCATTATATCACTTGCTCACCATTGGATCCTTTGCAGTGAATGGGTGCCGGCAGAACGAGAGTCCAAACACCTGATTAAAAACAACACAATAATCCACCAGTAATCCAAATTACTCCAGTCCATCAATTAATGTCTTGTGAAGGGAAAAGCTGCATGTTTGTAATAAATAAATCCATCACCATCCTGATTAAAAACAACACAATAATCCACCAGTAATCCAAATTACTCCAGTCCATCAATTAATGTCTTATGAAGGGAAAAGCTGCATGTTTGTAATAAATAAATCCATCACCATTGCTTCTGGCTAAGAGTCCTCTATCCATAGTATTGCTTTCTCCAGTGAAAAAGTCTTCTTGTCTAAATCAGGAGAGAATATGCTCAGATAAAGCACCATTTACAAGTAAAAACAGTCCAAAATGTTTTGGTCCCACTTTATATTAGGTGGCATTAATATGTACTTACATTTAAATTAGTCATCTGATACAATGCACTTATTGTGTACATACATACATGTTTTTACATTGTACTTATATTTAAAAATACCTTCATGTAATTACATAATTACACTGTTGACTTACATCTTAACCCACCCTTAAACCTACCCATACCACCAAACCTGTCGCTAACCTTACTCGTATCCCACCTCAATAGCAGCAGTATTGCATTATTTTTTTGATGTAGTAGTTGTGGCCACCTAATATAAAGTGATGTGTGAGGACAACAGGGGATGGACTTTTTCACTAGAGGAAGCGATATTATGGATTATGGACTCTATACTATTTTGGCCAGATCCGATGGTTTAAAATTAAAACGCGAACGCTCTTAAAGTGGTACTTAAGTCGCTGTCTGTTCATGAAGTGCTGAAATGTCATTGACATTTCCTAAATTTACATATTATTGCTCTTTTGTTGACTTTGATTTCTTCTGTTGTCCTCATTTGTAAGTCGCTTTGGATCAAATATTTACTTATATTTAGCTTCGCTTCAGGGACATTCACCAATCAAGCGGTGCTCTTTGATCCTCAAAGTAATATCGATGACAGCAATGCTGCTCAATACTGCAGTGCTGGCAAGAACAGCTCTGGATATCAAGAAGAAAAGGTTGCAAAATAAAAGTAAATTATTAAGGTTGTTCTCTTTTATTTGGCCATATTATGTGGGTTGGCCACAGGGCCTCAGTGGCTTTCTTCTAGGACAGATAAAAGGGAGCCTGGATGAATTTAAAATGCACACAAAAGGAACAACGGTATCACTTTGCCAACATTTTTTTAATTATTATTCTCATAAATGAGTCAGTTAACCAAGTTGGAGTCTATTTCAAAATTGTATTACTGTTTTGACATAAGGTTTGAGGTACAGATGTTTTTTGTGGAATAGGTGGAAATTTTATTCTCAAAATATTATGACTTTAATCTTGAAATATTCGATTTATATATTTTGATGTGCCACTAAAATGCTGTTGTAAGAAACAAACTCATCTACATCTTGGCTGGCAAATACATTTAAAAGTACATTTTCAGCAAACATTTTTCGTTAAAAAGTACTAAATCAAAATTCCCCCCCAAAAAGCTATTAGACAAAATTTTGTCTTGTGTGTGTGGGTATATGTGCAGCAAAATTGTTTGACATTCTTTTTACTTTAATTTATAGCGAGAATCCTATAGTTGGAAAGACAGCGTAACATTGTGACTGCAGGACCAGGTGGTACTGACACAGCCACACAAACAGAGGGCGCTGTGTTTGTCGACATAGAGGAGCACGACAGCGCTCTGATTATGCTCAGAGAAGTGCTGCCGTTCCACATGTGACCGAGCCTGTCTGGAGTTACAGTGTACTTAGAAGAATTTGGCCAGTCAGGAGTCGCGTGGTGTATCCGTGAGTTGCTATCATTGGAAAAATCTAGCTCTTTTCTCTGTGTGCCTGTTCGGTCTCTGTCTTCTATCAGTTTTTAAGATCGTTTCGAAACCTCAATCGCCAGTCCACACAGTAAGAAAAGATTGCAATCACCTCTTATCCATTCCTAAACAGGCTGTGAAAGTCCAGACACCAGAGTTTGTCTGAGAAATTATAGCTGCTAAAATAGTCTTTGAAAGAACTCAACCTTCACATATTTCTTTATAAACCATCAGTTTTTCAGACTACTGGTCGTCTGATGTTTTGACAAGTAAAATAACCGTGTCTTAAAGGGAATCTTCGTTGTTCTTTATAGTTATAGTATCATCCCTCTCACCCATCCCTTTGAGTGTGTGCATGGTTTTCTATCTGTAGTGGATAGAATTAATCTGCTTTATACTTACAATCCCACACTTGTGTATGAATTAGGGACTAATGCAGAAGCACTTTAGATATTTGGAATATTCCAGATGAGATTGTTTTAGATACGTCGTATCAACCTTTTTTTCCCGATATTGATCAGTTACATGATCAACTCTTGTGTAATGTTCTGTAGATAACGTTCATATCCTGTAGATTTTTACTAGCTATTTTTCTTACGCCAAAGATGTTGTTTTGTAGGTTTTCATGACTTGAAAATGGTATACATGTAGTTTTTTTTTTAAATACAGAACTTTTAAAAAAGGAAAATGGCTATCTATATTTCATGGACGTACATTTTGGGAGCGTCAATCATTTTGATAAACATGAAGAAGATTTCATTCAATCAATCTTTGTCATTATTCCCCATACAAACAATGACAAATGTTTGGATATTTTATAGTATGCTATGTTCCAAAAACCTAGTGAGCTGCCTACCAAGACGGCATTTTAAGGCACCAAAATTGTGCTCACAAAACAAAGACTGTTCAGCAAAATCAAATTATGGAAGGTCTGCCTCCTTTGCAGAGATTGCATTCCCATAATGCACTGCAACAAACTCAGTGGGGAAAAAAACAATCCTATAGGCATTTGAGAAAATGCTTTAGTTTTATGCTATACTAAAAAGCACGGATAAAATAGAAACACATTTCTCAATATTGGTATATGCCATTTTGCTTGAGTATTGAGCTGTTAGCTTAGCAACATGCTAATAGCAAAGTCTAATTGGAATCAGTTGGAATCGGATTTAATGCTATTTGTGTGACTTGCAAAAGACCGTTTGGATGCTGAGGCAGCTCACTAATGTTTTGAATGGAGCTATAAACGTAGATTGTTTAGTAAGAATTCTGTTTGACAAGTAACAATCACCTGCATCATGTTTGTTGTGTCGCAGTTGTGTTGTAGTTATGTGGTGGAATTGTCATGTCATTTCCTGATAACCACCTGCTGTTTATTACAGGTCTACCGTTCACGGTTTTGTTTTAAATGTCCCCATTCTCAACTCTACTGAAGGGTTTTCTGTGTCTTTGCTGTAACATTGGAGACTGTTATGTTCTGCTTGGCGTACTTGTGTTTTGCATATATTGTTAGTAGTCTAATCAGTGGTTCTCAACTGGAAGGTTAAAAATGTTCCACAAGTCAAAAATATTCTGCAAGGGCCATGGACTTAAATGAATATACAATGTGAAATGCAAGCAATAAAATGCACTAACCATATAATAGTGAGTAGTTGAGATTAGGGTTGCAAAAAGGTGGAAAATTTATAGTAAATTTCGGAAACATTCCAGAAATTTTGGAAACTTTCCAGGATTTTTTGGAATATTCCAGGGATATTTGGAATTTTACCGGAAATTTTCCACCCCTAGTTGAGATAGCAAAATAAAAAAAGGCTTAACTTTCAAACTTAAAAATAACACCCTATGTGATGATGTTACAAATACATAGGAATGAGCATTTCAACAATTTAGATCTATTGGTCTGTAATTATGAAGAACATTTTTCTTTCAAACCTTGGAGTATTTCACAATAGCATCACTTTTATGTCATTGTGTGCCCAGCGCACACTGTATGACTTTGTCCACAAATTCCCTTCTGAAACCAATTTCTGGGATTGAAAAGGATGATTACTGTCGTAGGGCAAAATCACGAGCCTTTGATTGCGTTTAATGGCTCGTGTGCACTGAAGAACCAGTAGAGTGCTGTATTGATGTAGGCCTGGGTCCCTCAACAAAGTCCACATGGCATTTTTCTCTTGGCTTTTGAATTATTGCAGAAAATAAGCTCTTTGACCAACAAAAGTTTACGATGCTTGCACGGTTTGTTCATCGGGATTTTCTACATGTTGAAGCCTAAATACAATCACATGAGGTAAAAAGCCAAATGTAGTCTATAAACGCACTACACCAGTCAGTCGCATGACTACAGCGTCACCACCACTGAGCTTCTGACAACTCTTGCATTTTCCCTAAAAGTTTGAGTTAGTTTGCAAGAGCATGATTGTAAACACGAGGCTGTGAAAGCGGACGTAGATGAGTTTCCTTGTTTGACGTGATGATGTTTAATGTCCCCGTCAACTTCTATAGTCCCATTTAGCCACTTGTTACCAACTGCCTTTTTCTTTTTGAGATCTTACTTCAGGCATTTAACCAAAAACCAATTGAAAACAACCCATTGACTTCAGGATGATGGAACGGGAAGTGCTAAAATTCTAACTCATTGGCCTACAAAAATACATCATCACTGCAATCTATAGGAGTGATGAATTTTGAAGAAATGGTTTTCTATTAGCACCCAAAAACCAGCGTGAGAGATTTTCACAGAGCACCGCTCGTATAGTTCTCCGTTACATTACAGTTCTCTTAAAAGGTTGTCTTGTCCAGAAATGGCTTTCCTCCGGTCCAGATATGGATCTACGGCTCTTTACAAGCGAGGAGAAAATGCTTTTGTTGATGACATCTGACACTTGTTAGAAGCTCAACAAATCAAGCAGATGCCAACATGGACGAGTTGAGAAAAAACCTCCCAGAGACATTAAATACGGGTTGCAGTGAGGACATGGTTTGTCGAAACCACAGTGTTTTGAGAATTATTGGCTGCTGAGAGCATGAAACCAATTAAATTTTGTACGATACACAATTTTGGTACCACGTTGGGTGTCCAAAATAAACTCTGGGTCATGAAGCAACAACCCATTGACTTCAGGATGATGGAACGGGAAGTGCTAAAATTCTAACTCATTGGCCTACAAAAATACATCATCACTGCAATCTATAGGAGTGATGAATTTTGAAGAAATGGTTTTCTATTAGCACGCAAACCAGCGTGAGAGATTTTCACGGAGCACCGCTCGTATAGTTTTCCGTTACATTACAGTTCTCTTAAAAGGTTGTCTTGTCCAGAAATGGCTTTCCTCCGGTCCAGATATGGATCTACGGCTCTTTACAAGCGAGGAGAAAATGCTTTTGTTGATGACATCTGACACTTGTTAGAAGCTCAACAAATCAAGCAGATGCCAACATGGACGAGTTGAGAAAAAACCTCCCAGAGACATTAAATACGGGTTGCAGTGAGGACATGGTTTGTCGAAACCACAGTGTTTTGAGAATTATTGGCTGCTGAGAGCATGAAACCAATTAAATTTTGTACGATACACAATTTTGGTACCACGTTGGGTGTCCAAAATAAACTCTGGGTCATGAAGCAAAACCACTTGAGAACCACTGATCTAAATAAACAAAAAAAAAATCTAACCTGTTAATATGTGACATAAAATTAAAGTGTACTTAGCATGATCATTTTACGTTCTTTTCAAAAGACACCTTAGCAATATGAGAAAAGAACATGTGAAAAATGCAGGAACCTGCAAGTCTTGCTTTCTTAGACTTTGGCATATCAGAGAAAGCTAATTGAATTCTGTCACACCTCAAACGCCATTCTGAACAAACCTTAGCGAAAACACAAGTAAAACTAAAGAACATGAGTCTACATTTCTGAATTTCAAGTGATGTGGCTCTCTCAACAAGATATATATATATATATATTTTTGTAATCATGACATTTTGAAAGCTGAAAGATTGTATTGAGCATTGATAAAGAGGCTTGGAACACAATTTGCCATTTCAGCACGAACAATTATGCAACATTCACCTTCCAGTTATGGTGTCAGAATATATATATATTTGTATTAGGTCCATCAGATAGGTCTAATTTGTGTGTATTTATCTTTTCTCACGTGTAATGTGTAGATGTTTGTAGCACACTGTGAACTGAATGGCGTCATGATATGTTGATGCATTGGTTGAATGGTACATGGATGTTCATCTGGTACTCTGCGGCTCCAGTGAGCTTCAGTAGAAATGTGGTACTGATCATCCTCACTTCATAACTGTGGTAGAGCAAAGAGCAGTGTGGGCTCGCTTAACATTGCGGTGATACCGCAGACCTCCTCCTTTCATTAGATTGTCGAATCGAATTGAGTGGTTTCTGTGTATTCGTGTAAAGCCCCCCCTCCCCCTCCCACCCATCTCTGAACTGGGCATATTTTCATCTCGTGTAAACGTACAGAAACCATTACGACCAGCATCCAGTGGCCTTTAAGACCCCCCCAAACCCCCCGGACTAAAGGTTCTTCTTTAACATTCCCAATTTAGCACTTATCTTTGAGTCGATGGAACAATGCAGACAATGTCATTTTTCTTTTTCTCGAATGTATATCGGTACGAATCTACAATCACCATATCATAAGAACGTTTCAAACCATGATGCACTCCTGTTATGATGTTTGTGCTAAACATAATTGGGTCTGCAAGTCGCCTTTTGAAAACATTGTAGTTTAAATAATGCATTTCTTAAATTATTATATTTTTAGATCAGTAATGTAGGTCTGTAAAACTGCTATAAATATTTGCACAAATTTGATCACTTTTTTTTTTTTTTTGTCTACCCATTCCCAATCCTCTTTCAACGTATTACTAATTGTACTGGACATGTTTGCTTCATTTTGTTATTTAAATGTTTTTATACCATTATTTTCACAATACAAGCTCACATAATTCCTGTGTTATTAGTTCAGTGGAATTAATTTGCAATAAATATATTGTTTGTGTGATTCTGTTTTGTGTGTGATATCAGTGGCTTTTCACGGTTCAGATCAATAGCACATTGAGCTGTTGTGGCACACTATTATTGTAATAGCTCATTTATGCTGTAATAACTTTTGAATTACTGTTATTTATTTAGAAATATGCAACAAATCTATCCCCATGCAAAACACCATTTGGACACCTCAGTCATGATTAAAAAACATACTTCCATATACATAAATCAGGAAACAAACAGAGACGAGGGTTCCTCCTGTAATATGAAATTGCAGAAAAGACAGAAGAAAACAATTAAACCTTCACATTGTGAATAATATTACAACTGGCCGACTAACCGTAAGAACATAAGATGCGTAAAATCAGTTGATTCGTGTTTAAAAGGAAGCACATGTATGAACTTGGCACATTTTAACAAATTGTGAAGACCAAGATTGTTCCGTTTCTCACAGAAATGCTGAGAAACCTGTAAAATCTGAACTCTGGCAATTATCTTTTACAATGCACGTGGTGGTTGCATGTGGATTTCACTGGACTGAATTGGAGACATGCGCAAAGATTTCTGTAGATTTCTTGTCTGACCTTTTCCCGCGGCCTTCAATCTATGGAAATTCTGTGCTGAGTTCCCCTACTTCTCCTTACATGAACTGTGATTAATTGTGTATTATCTGAGGCCGGGAACCGCTCCAGTGCAAATGAAAACATACGGCAGAGTATTGTTTGTACGTGCACGTTTTCATCTCAAACGTTTGCTGTCAAGAATAATACGAGTGATATCAGTCGAATTTAAACATTGCAGAGGATAAATGGAAAGTCTCATTGATTGTTAAACCATATGGTTCCACTTTGTTAGTATCACTGCAGTAAAACGGCTTTTATCTATCACAAAATCACCAGCATGAAAATTAGCTAGTTTTAAAGGGGTCGTATGATGTTGCTAAAAAGAACATTATTTTGTGTATTTGGTGTAATGAAATGTGTTTATGCGGTTTAAGGTTAAAAAAACACATTATTTTCCACATACTGTACATTACTGTTTCTCCTCTATGCCCCGCCTTTCTGAAACGCTCGATTTTTACAAAGCTCATCGGTCTGAAAAAGCGAGGTGTGCTCTGATTGGCCAGCTATCCAATGCGTTGTGATTGGCCGAATACCTCAAGCATGTGACGGAAATGTTACGCCCCTTAACATA